GCCACCGAAAACACAGTTGAAAACACGTAAGAAAACATCAGCACAGCACAGGGGCGACCGGTCGCTGATACCTTGCGACCGGTCGCTACGACCATTTGGATACATAGCGACCGGTCGCTGATACCTTGCGACCGGTCGCTTCCTGCGAATTTTTCAGACTTCGACTCTGCTTCTAAACGACCGGTCGCCCAAACCTTGCGACCGGTCGCTCACTCCTTCGCATGCATACTAAATGTGAGCCAATTTTACAACACTTCTGCATATATGAAGGTGAGAGTAGCATACCTGAAAGTATGAACTTTTTGGGTGAATATAGCCTCCATGACATTCCTGCAGCTCTTAACAATCTTCCTGGATTTTGTGTTTGCTTTTCTATTGATGCCGATGGTATCTTGAGTGTCTCTTCTGAGCATAAGTACACTTGGCAGAAGAAAGGGATCACATTTAACCGTGACAAACCGTAGTTTGGGGGGAATTATGATGAGTAACGTTGAAATAAGATATATGGATATACCAGATCACTCAACATATTTTAGTAAGTTAATACGAAGTTAATCACTTGTTTGGTTCCGTCGAAATCTGTTCATTGGTTAGGTCGTCTTTTAATTGTTTTAAATGAACCATGTTATGTTATTTTAAAATTAAAAAACTCTCACTCACCATCTCGGTTCAGATTATCAACGCTAATTAAGTGACACGTTGCAATGTCCTTGGTGCTATGATGTGTGGTGTCTTGATCATATTTTTGGGGCTGCTGCTGTCTTTTGTCACTTTGGGTGCCTTGAGTGTTTTGAGTGTGCAGCTGATCTACTCTATTACTTGGTGCATACATTCACTAGTGAGATGCTCCTACATCTACAACCAAGCTCAAATTAAACTTAACAAAGTTTAAACAAGTCAAGTTTGAGCTTCAAGACTGCTTGGCTTTGCACGCTTGGTGAGGATATATATTCATCAATAAAACAATGGGATCTATTGCGTTAAGAAAGAGAAGAGAGAAAAAGTATAATATCAATGTGTGCTTGATTTGATATATGTTATTTTTTAATGGCAAAAATTATATATTTGGAGTTATGTAACTTATGTTTTAGTGCATGGTATATATGACCTGCAGGGCAAGAGAACAGAAAATTATATCCATATATGCATTAGTTGGAGAGGGGGTTTTGCTTTGCCAATTGGCACACCAACCTTAATTTACCAAAATAAAAATTGACATCAACCTTACTTTAATGACTGACTCCAGTGATGATTCTTTGGGAAAAATTGGAAAGATACCGTGCTACAACAGAACAAAAGAATACCTCGTATTGTTTTTTATTACTTAAAAATATAAGTAATAATCTAAATTATACGTAGACATAGATTCTAACTTGGATGCATGGAGGGCGGGCTCATTGTTCTGATCAACTGGCCTAACTCACTTCTGCATAATTGCATTGTTGTTTAATTATAAAGATTGGGGTTTCAAATCAACCTTAAGGAAAGCATAAGGACGTTGGAGATACATTGAGATAAGTTATTTGCAATGAAATTTACATGTCAAAATGGCAAACTGAAATTTATCTGGAGAGAAAGAAAGAAAAGGAATTTCGAGAAATTGTAGAAGTTCTAATTATAGCTAGAAACACTAGTATTATTTAATTAATTATAAAATAATCAAACGGAAGAATAATTTTTTATTAGGTTGTTGTTATCGTCAGATATATGTTACCAAAGATGCATACAAAGTTGGTTTTAGTCTTATGCTTAAATAAATCCATGGCCTCCATAGTCGAGGCCTTTAGGGTAGCATCATCTACCTATTAACAATCATATTTTGTGGCACATATTGTGTCTTTTTGTCTCTTCTACCTAAAATTGAAGAATTCTGAAACTGACGGCGACAATAAGTTCACATGTGTGCTAATCCCATTATAAGAGATGTGATTAACAATGTGATTTCGAAACTCCCCATTTAAGGTCAAAAAGCTATGTTTATATGGCACGTTCATATTAGCTGCTAGCTAGCTGGAGAGCAAAGCATACTTCATCGATCTCTTTGAGTCCCTAACCATGATGGAGTGGCCTTGGAATTTTCTTGTCTATTTCATCACCTTCCTTTTACCAGCTCTGCTCTTCTTGATCCGAAGGAGATCATCAAACTCGAGCCGCCATCGGCTTCCTCCCGGCCCGCTAGGACTGCCCTTGTTCGGCAACATGTTCGACCTTGGAACAATGCCACACAAGACTCTCACTGACCTAACACACAAGTTTGGTCCTGTAATTTGGCTAAGGCTCGGTGCAAGAAACACTATGGTAATTCAATCTGCCAAAGCAGCCGGAGACCTTTTCAAGCACCACGATATGTCATTTGCAGGACGCACCACAACCGAAGCAAGCCGTGTGCTTGACTACCACAAGGGGTCACTGGCTCTGGCCCCTTATGGCGCGCACTGGCGTATGTTGCGGCGCCTCGTGACGGTTGAAATGCTGGTGAACAAGCGCATTAATGAGACGGCCTTCATCCGCAGGAAGTGTCTTGACAACTTGCAGTTGTGGATACAAGAGGAAGCCTCAAAGCTCGAAGAAGGGCATGGAGTTCATGTGGCTCGCTTTGTGTTTCTTATGAGTTTCAACCTTCTTGGCAACCTCATGCTGTCCAGGGACTTGGTGGACCCCAACTCAAGAGAAGGGTTGGATTTCTTTTCTGCAATGGCTGGATTGATGGAGTGGAATGGGCATGCCAACATGGCTGATTTCTTTCCATGGCTGAGGTGGCTGGATCCACAAGGCTTGAAGAGAAAGATGAAGAGGGATCTTGGAAAAGCTCTGGAAATTGCTTCTAAGTTTGTTGGGGAGCGCATGGAAGAAAAGCAGGTGGGTGGAGTGAGAGCTAGGGACTTCTTGGATGTGTTGCTTGAGTTTGAAGGCAATGGTATTGATGAACCAGCCAAAATTTCTCATCGTGATGTCAATATTTTCATACTGGTAAGTGGTGTTGTTTTCCTTGTTCAATACATAGTCTTTTTTACATGTTAAGTTTAATTTGGTCACGCGTGTTCCATATCACCTAATACAATTTTGTAACGTCGTTAACCATGTTGATCACTGTTTGATATGCTGATAAAAAAACCAAATTAATAAAGAGATATTATCCTTGTAATTCTCATTGCAGTACTACATTCCCTTTTTGTTCAGAAGTGACCATAAAACTTGTCAACTTATAAATTATAATCTTTATTGCTTATGCTGTGATGCAGGAAATATTTCTGGCAGGTTCAGAAACAACAAGCAGCACAATAGAATGGGCACTGACTGAGGTTCTATGCAACCCTGAGACATTAACCAAAGCCAAAGCTGAGCTCACTCAAGTTATAGGGCCAAACAGAAAAGTTGAAGAGACTGACATTGAAAAACTTCCATACTTACAGGGCATAATTAAAGAAACCCTAAGATTGCATCCACCAATCCCATTCCTAATACCAAGAAAAGCTATGGAGGACACCAAGTTCATGAACTACTTTATACCCAAAAACACACAGGTATTTGTGAATGCTTATGCAATTGGAAGAGACCCAGATGTGTGGGTTGATGAGCCTAATTCATTTAAACCTGAGAGGTTCATAGGCTCAAAAACTGATTATAAGGGTCAACATTATGAGTTCATTCCATTTGGAGCTGGGAGAAGAGTTTGTGCAGGTTTGTCACTGGCTCATAGAATGTTGCATCTTACTTTGGGCTTGTTGCTGCACCAATTTGACTGGTCACTTGATGGAAATGTGACCAGAGGCACCATGGATTGGAAGGAAAAGTTGGGGATAACAATGAGAAAGTCTCAGCCTTTACTAGCTGTGCCTAAAAAATGCTTGGTATAGTCACTAAAGACTCATTTGTGTCAAAAAGTGAATGAGTTCTAAATGTACTGTAATCTCAAACATGTACAAATGAAATACTTGTGCATCAGTTAAGAATGATTGTCTTATTGTTGAACAAGTTATATGAATAGTAGTATTGGTATGAAAATGATCAGAAATAAAATATTAATAGAGTTGTCCTTATATCCTCAGACATATATAATCAAATGCATACAAAAGTGCAAGGACTATCCAATTAAACATTGCCATTTTGAGATGATCTGTTCGGCAGATTTGTCAACAGATACAAATTGATTGCTTTAACATATGGTTATAATATAAAAATGAATTCAGATCTTCAGGTCATGATATGTTTATAGCTGAGTATCAGGACTCTGTATAATTATGCTCCTTTCTGACATCAACACTGTCTCTCTGAACCAAAAACTAAACGCAGAAGCAACACGAAAGATTAATTAAAATATTATATTCAATATAAAGTAGCTGATGTCAACCATCACAGCTAAGCTCAGTTCATAATTAAAAGAATGCTACTCATTATTCCCTTTTTTTAATGCTGGATCAAACTCTGCTCCTAATTATACAAATAAGGAAAATACTTGCTTTTTTATATATATATGAATGGTTTTTACATATGTGCCAAACTGTGATTTGCATGATATTGAAGAATCTCTCCTTCCGAGAAGAAGAAAAAAGGAAGTCCTACAAAGGCAAGCAGTGTCCTACTGTTAAAGGGAAACCTTCCTTTCATGCTTTGTTACTTGCAGTCTTGCAGACAACAATATTGACCTTAGAGAGCAAGAACAATGGTTCGTTTCTTCAACTCAATGGAGTGGTGTTCTTGGAATTTTCTAGTTTATTTTCTCATCTTCTTGTTACCAGCTCTGCTCTTCTTGCTAATCCGCCGGAGATCAAAATGGGGCAACCATCTGCTTCCTCCTGGACCACCAGGCTGGCCTATATTCGGCAACATGTTCGACCTCGGCACGATGCCACACAGGACTCTCACTGAGCTAACGCCCAAGTTTGGTCCTGTAATTTGGCTACGGCTTGGTGCAAGAGCAACTATGTCAGTTCAATCTGCCAAAGCAGCCTCTGAGTTTTTCAAAAACCATGACCTCTCTTTTACAAACCGCACCACAAATGAAGCTAGCCGGGTTTATGACTACCACAAGGGGTCATTGGCTCTAGCCCCTTACGGCTCACACTGGCGGGGGATGAGGCGGCTCATGACGGTTGACATGGTGGTAAACAAGCGCATCAACGAGACCGCCTTCATTCGAAGAAAGTGCCTTGACAACATGCAGTTGTGGATAGAAGAGGAAGCCTCTAAGCTCAAAGAAGGACATGGAGTTCATGTGGCTCGCTTTGTGTTTCTTATGACTTTCAACCTTCTTGGGAACCTCATGCTGTCTAGGGATCTGGTGGATCCTAAGTCAAACGAAGGGTTGGAGTTTTTTAAGGCAATGAATGGACTGATGGAGTGGAGTGGGGCTGCAAACATGGCTGATTACTTTCCATGGCTAAGGTGGTTGGATCCACAGGGCTTGAAGAGGAAGATGAAAAGGGACCTTGGGAAAGCTATACAAATTGCCTCTAAGTTTGTGAAGGAGCGCATGGAAGAGAGAGGGGTGGGTGGAGAGAAAACTACGGACTTCTTGGATGTGTTGCTTGAATTTGAAGGCAATGGAATTGATGAACCAGACAAAATTTCTGAACATGATGCCAATATTTTTATACTGGTAAGTGGTTGCTTAGCTCGATCTCTTCAAATTACTAGATAGAAGTTTTTAAAGATCATGACATAACGTGTTCTCCAATGCTCTTATAGACTGTCTATCAAACTGTGAATCTGAATTATTAATCACACTCGGTACATGAATGTGTGATCTAAATTCACAATCTGACAACTTAGGGGCCGTTTGGTAGCCTATTCAAATAGGGAATTCAAAAACTTTGATTTTTCTTAAAAACAAGGAGTTCTTAAATCTATTTTTAAGATTCAAAAACTTGTTTGGTATGCACTTGAAAACTGTTTTCAAATCTTAAAAATGTGAAAACTTATGGGTTAGAAAAAAAATGAAAAAACAGATATTTTTTGTTTTTAATAATTGGGGTGTTTTTTTAGTTATTTTTGAGTTTGAATTTTTAAAAATAGGGCTACCAAACAGGTTTTCTTTGTTTTGGACTCAAATTCTATTTGTCTGGCAAGATGATCCTAGCAAGAGAATTTCACTTCTTACAAGCTTTGATAATCATTGAACAAACTGTGTGCAGGAAATATTTATGGCTGGTTCAGAAACAACAAGCAGCACCACAGAATGGGCAATGACAGAGCTGCTAAGCAACCCAGAGACATTGATGAAGGCCAAAGCCGAGCTCACTCAAGTGATAGGTCCAAACAGAAAGATTGAAGAGAGTGATATTGACAATCTTCCATATTTGCAGGGTTTAATTAAAGAAACACTAAGATTGCATCCACCAATTCCATTTCTAGTACCAAGAAAGGCTATGGATGACACCAAATTCATGGGGTATTTTATACCAAAAGACACACAGGTTTTTGTGAATGCTTATGCAATTGGAAGAGACCCAGATGTGTGGGTTGATGAGCCTAATTCATTCAAGCCCGAGAGGTTCATAGGCTCAAAAATTGACTACAAGGGCCAACATTATGAGTTGATTCCATTTGGAGCTGGGAGAAGAATGTGTGCAGGTGTGCCTCTAGCTCATAGAATGCTGCATCTTACATTGGGGATATTGCTTCACCAATTTGATTGGTCACTTGATGGAAATGTCACCAGAGACACCATGGATTGGAAGGACAAGTTGGGGATAACAATGAGAAAGTCTGTGCCATTACTAGCAGTGCCTAAAAAATGCTTGGTATAGTCACTGAAGACTCATTTGTGTCCAAAAAAAATGTGTTTTAATAGGTCTACTTTCAATATCTTCTTTTCACGCAAATAATTTTGTCACTAGACAATCTAGTATGTTATATTTTAATTTGTTAATTTACGCTATTAATGATGTCTTTTTTTTTTTTGGTAAATGATGATGTCTTTTTGAATGAATAGATCTAATTAGTTGTCTTGTGTAACAATATAATACAATATCTTAAACTCTTTTGTAAATAGATTGATTCGAACTTGTAACTTTATTGCAGGAAAACGTTACTTATCCCAATTTTTTCTTTCAACTTTCTTTCTCAACCACATAATTCCATTAAACAAACAACAATTCTTTAGTATCCAATGTGAAAGTGCCATAAGTTGAAATAAAAAATTCGAGAGAAGTAGGTTGTACGACATTATTGAAGAAATATTGTGTGGAAATGGAGATTATTGATTGATGATATATGGTTTACCATTAAAAGATATACAACAAAAAAGTCATTTAACTGGATTTCCTCTGTGTGAGGTCAAGTAAGGGCAAATACTATTCACATGAATAGTGACTACTCTGGCAATTTTTTGATGTATTTCACCCATAAGGCAATCACTATTTACATGAGATATGAGGCAAGAAATTTGTATGGATTTTGATGTGGGAAATGAAGAACATGGCTAGATATTTATGGAAAAAATAATTCTGAAATTTTTGAAATTTTGAAAGTCTTGACTTGGGACTTGCTCAATTTCTTGGGAGCACTTCTTGCCTGATAACTTTTCCTTTGTAGGAGTTTTTTGGGAGCCTGGGCAAGGGTGGGTGGAAGTGCTCTTTTGGGCCAAGCATCTACCCAAATGGACTTTTCTTTTAGAATCTCATGTACATCCATGCAATTCAGTCAATTTGCTCAAATAATGCAGTTCACTCAATTTAGATAAAATAATAAAGCAGTATTTCTGTAACCACGGTCTTTCTTTGGGAAGATCATAATTTATCCGAAAATTGAAAAAAACCGATATATTTCCCACAGACAGTGAACATATTTTCTGATACATAGATTGAACAAGAAAAAGACTATATCCATCGAATATTTGAACAAGAAAAAGACTATATCCATCGAATATACTTATATAATTGTTTTGTTTTATTTCCTAATTGGCCTTTTAAGACACGTGAGGAAAAAGAGTGGACAAAAAGAGGAAAACAACAAAGAAGAAGCAATCCATGTGATGAAATATTATAAGATCTTGAAGCTACAGATACGTCAAAAGAGTAGTGCAAATATACCATAGATTATGCTACAAAGAGCTTCGTGTTACATTACAAGATATGCTTTACAAGGACGTTGCCGTTGGCCCCCAAATCATTCACCATATGAACAAATGAAAAAATCTTTGAGTTCCAAGAAAAGACAAAGAAGACCAAAAGAGAGAAAATCTACTTGACCAAAAGAAGCAGAAATATTCACTTGATGCTTCTCATTCTTCTCCAGGTTACTTCATTGATTGAACATCGCCATCTTATAGACCTGCGGAAGTCCACAATCTACTAATGCAGTCTATAAATTTTGTTAAGCAATTTCATCCCTTTTGAGCATATAATCATCATACGGTCTGTTGCCACCAGCGTCGCGCAAAGCCTTCCTATTCTGTTCATCAATCATGCACATATAGTTCAGACCTATAAGAAGCTCCACAATTGCAGCTTCGGTTTTTGCCTGATTTGCAAAGTGGAGGGTCTGTACCAGAAGCACATTTGTCTTGGAAACTTCCTGCTGCTTCACAAAATTTCGCTCAGAATGCCACCGCACCATGTTATGGGCGAGGGGAGCAAGCCATTCCAGTATCTGCTCCAGTGCCAGACTCCACTCTCCTGCAAGGGCAGGATCATAGACAGATGTGCCCATAGTTTTGGCATATGACTTTAGTCTAGCTCTCAGGGCAGTTCTTATAGTTGTGGTTAACATATTGTATAGATCATATCTTGCGTCAAGGCTGATCAAGTGAGGTGATGAAGCTATATTTTCAATCAAAACAATCACATTTGCATAATGGAGAGCGAGAGCAGCATCACCAAGGGTAGACGGCGAGGCAGCCAATAGTGTACATTTTGAACTAAACAGGGATAATTTAGAATAGATACTGTGGCAGAAAGATTGAGATCCCATATGTGTGTACTTCTCACAATGTTTCATATGGGTACTTCTCAACCTCATAGAACCACCTATTTCTGGCTTGCAGCTCTGAAAAACAGGAGATTCACTTCCGCCAGTCATGCATCCTTTAAAAGGTCCAACATGAGCAAAACTTTTGGCTTTTAACTGAGAATAATTTCCATGTTGGATGGATGACTGACAATGAGCTTGCCGCTGTTTGTTTGTTTTATTCTTACTACTAGCATTAAGCCTTTGCTTTGTAAGCGACCTCCCAAGAGGTCCTGAATAGAACCCACAATGATTACCATCGGATGGATGAACAGAAGAGTGCATAAGGGCAGAAAACGAATGACTGCGAGATAGACAGGCAGAATTGGTGATTTCAGAATTACCGTTTCCCTCTCCAGAGTCTATTTGATCAAATCCAAAGACCAGCTTGATCCTCTCTAAAATAGTAAACAGGGATCTAGCCAGAAGTCGGACAGTGTAATCATAAGTTCTACTCCATGGAGACATCTCTTGTAGATTTTTCACTTCTTGACGCTGCCACATTACCTTCTGTTGAAACTCGAGCAATTTGACCCGATTTAACCGAGGATTAGCCCGCATTCTCCTCAGAGTTTGCTCAAGCTCTGCCAGCACTTCCATCTCCTGAGACAATTGCATTGTGGCCTCAACAAATCTCTCCATTTTCTTCACTTTCCTCTCCATTTTCTTCCACCTGTACTCCCACCCAAGCCATTGGAAACCATTCTCAAGAGGGTCATCAAAAAATTCTTCAAAACGATGATAAACAGGGTCAGTGCACCTCTTACCAAGCCTGACCACTGACATGGCAAGATACCCCAAATTCTCAATTACCTCATTCAGTGCAAGTTCCATCAAGTAACCATCATCGTCAGCCACGAGCCTTCTCATCCCAGGTGAGTTAACAATCTCTTCCCTCAACCTAAGCATCTCCTTTTCACCCACAATATTCCATAAATTCACAACCTTTAACATCAACCCCGCAACTTCAAACGCCAGAATCCCAACCACTGGCTTCTCAACCTCCACCACACGATTCCATGAGAACCTCAAACTACCGAACCACGACTCGGACACCATCTCACCTCCCATTAAAGCTCATACACCAAAGCGCAAACCAAATCTCAACAAAAAATCTCAGTAGATCTCTTTATCCCTGCGCCAAAATAAGAGGTACAACTTGTATTATGTTCTTAAACACAAAACCAAATCACAACTTTTCAAACAAACCCTAAATCCCTAAATCCCTAAATCTACCTTAGCTCAAAAGCAAAACCAAAAACGAACATGAGACAATTCTAACTCTAACCCTCCAATTGGTTGCTCAGGAAGCATAGAAAATACAAAAACATAACTGATTACAAATTGTCTACACTCCCATCTCAGCTATGTTAAATACCCAGAAATCAAAAGGCGAAATTGATACTTTCCCAGGTCTCAAACACTAGAATTCCCACATTCTCTCACCAACCAAACATACATTGTCGATTGCCCTCACATATTCAAACAACAAACTAACATAAGCATATATTCGTACCTACTGCATCCATACAGTACGTTGAAAACTCACCGTTTAGCTTGAAAAAGGTGGCAGCTTGACATCAATCTGGAGCACAAAAGTAAGCAAATATGACTGAGCTACAGAGAAAAGAAGAAAAGGTTGGGCCTTTGGGGGTTTGGAGTTGGAGGGTGTGCGTAGGCTTTGACCGTAGGCACCCAGCTGCGTACAAATAGCCGCGGCCGTAGAGCAAGAAGACAAAGATAAAGCCGAGAAGAGAGTCCCCAAAGAGTCGTAAATCGGTCATACCGAGGTGAAAAACAGGATATTACACCGCCCCATGGGGAATACCAAAAATGTTTCTAATTTTGGTATTGTTTTATAATTTCCCCTCTTAGATATTTTACTAGCCTTCCTAAATAATATAGTTTAGATTTGTTTTCTGAATTATTTAGTTCGATGAATGTTGTTGTATTCTTAAAATACATCGAACACGATATCAAAACATCAAACATATATTAAATATCCTATAATAAGAGATGAAGAAAGCTCGAAATTTTGAATACCAACTATTATAACTATTTTATTTAATGACCAATGTGATGTTGTCAAGGTAAAAGTATGTTTTTAAAGATTTTGTTTTTGGTGGAATATTTTGGAAGATTTGGTTGGTGGGTTAATGGGGACATGTAGATGTAAGTGGTTGTTGCTCATGGTTTTTGTGAGTAACATCATTGGGAGTGTCACTGTGGGTTCAGGGTTTGGGCTAATGAAACATTGATTGATTGGTTTGAGACCAATAGGGAAGAAAGGCTTTTCTTTGTTGAATTCTTTGTGTCATCGCTTTGCTAGGTGTATTTTTTTGTTGAAATATGGGAAATTCCCCGAAAAACAACAACTAAATACCGTGCATGAGTCGAGGTCTAGCAAAATCAAGCAAGTCATTCACCAACAGAGAGCTAACCAGACAGGAGCCCCGTCGAAGAATTCTTTGTGCCATCACTTTGCTGGTTTTGTTGTTAGTGAATCGAGTTTGGGGTATATTTCCAGGCACATATGCTTGCCACGTGAGACAAAATTGATGCACAACTGTCACTCGTCTAAACTGGCGATTGCACAATGAACATAATTTAATCATAAGACGCGTGCATTGGAGAGGGAGATAGAGAGGGGTTCTCATTTGAGGATGCTTTTGTACCATTTGTGTGAAGAAATGGGCTCAAATTTACATTGCAACTTGGTTCTTTGTTGTTTGTTGCCTTGCTGTTGCTGATCAGATTGTGAAAAGCAAAAGCAATCTCAGGAGTGTCAAATTTAACCAATGATTAATTTTATTGGGACAT